AGGGTCTCCGCTCGTGTCTGCGAACACGAGACGTTCCTCGAAGAGGAATTCATCAAGGGGAATGAGCCTCAAGTGGCAGGGGGACCCCGGCTGTGTAACTGAAAGCTTCAGGGGCTCTAACACTTCGTAGTGGCCAGAAGTGAGACTTCTTTGCATTTCCAAATCCTGAAATCGGTCTTTGGTGTTTTCGTAGCTTAAAGGGCAAAAATCGTGAAGACTCAGAGAAGCATCAGCCTGATGTGAGAGTTAAGGTGTTTTTCTAGTATGGGAACCTCATGAAGTTCAAAGAGGCGAAGTGCAAGGTCCTGCGCTTGGGTCGGGGCAACCCCCAGTATCAGTACAGGCTGGGGGATGAAAGGATTGAGAGGATCCCTGTGGAGAAGGACTTGATGGTATTGATGGAGGAGAAGCTGGACACGAGCCAACCACATGTACTCGTAGCCCAGGAAGCCAACCATCTCCTGGGCTTCATCAAAAGCAGTGTGGCCAGCAGGGCAAGGGAGGGGATTCTGCCCCTCTACTCCACCCTCATGACACCCCTTCTGGAGCCCTGTGTCCAGCTCTGGGGTCCCCAGCACAAGAAAGACCCATGGACCTGTTGGAGCGGGTCCAGAGGAGTCCACAAAAATGATCCAGGGGCTGGAGCACTTCTATGAAGAAAGGCTGAGAGATTTGGGGTTGTTCAGCCTGGAGAAGAGAAGGCTCCAGGGAAACCTTATTGCAGCCTTTCAGTACTTAAAGGGGGCTGAAAGGAAAGACAGAGAGAGACTTTACCGAGGCCTGTAGTGACAGAACAAGGGGCAACAGTTTTAAACTGAAAGAGGGTAGATTTAGATTGGACATAAGGAAGAAATGAGGGTGGTGAGGCACTGGTTGCCCAGAGAAGCTGTGGATGCCCCTTCGCTGGCAGTGTTCAAGGCCAGGTTGGATGGGGCTTTGAGCAAGCTGGGCCCGGGGAAAAAAGATTTTTAAAGGTCCCTTCCAACCCAAACCATTCTACGATTCTATGACAGCCTCATTACAGCAGCAGTTCTCAAGAGAAAGTAACATCTCATAGGTATTTGCCAAGTATCTTTGAAATCGCTCTTGATATCAGGCAGCATTTAAATGAAAAAAATAACCCTTTATTCCACTAAACTACAAACTTAGGAAACCTGTTCTTAGGTTTGGTGAAGAAAACAAAGCATTGGCACACCTCAGCGCTCTAAGACAGATTCTCAGAGTATCCCCTGGTTCTCAGTCAGGCAAGAGCTGACAGGACGTATCTGCAGCTTGTCAGCTCTGGGCCCTAAATAACATCCTTCCAGCATTGTTTTCCAAACTGCAGTCTCTTGGGTAGTGCCAAGCCCCTCCATATTTGCCTCTCTTCCCACTTAAGATCCCACCAACATATGACTGTACCCTTAGGGATTTTCTGTAATCCAAAATCTTGATAATCAATTGAACTATGATATTAAATTATGAGACTTCTATTCACGAGACAGTCTTGATACAGCATATGCTGTTGACAGCAGAAAATTCTTCATGCAGGCAGCCCAAAGAACATTGCCATCTCATTTATCAACAGACAGCTCATGTAAGTGGTGCAAATGTATCCCTTCCCCCAAAAACAGGGAAAAATGAGTTATATTACCTCTGCGTTTAGAAAGTGTAAGTCTTTAAATTTTCTAAACCATAAATTTTAGAAGTAGTTACACAAACATTTTTTTGATATTAAAAATACAGTTAATTACCAGCTTCAGATAGAGAGTGTAATTTACTTAAATTATTGGCAATGTGGCTCCCTCAAAGGTCACTATTAGGGAGACCTTGTTACAAGTGTATTGCTCGGGAAGGCTCACAGAGCCTGGGAAGGGTCACTCAGATCACAAGCCCAGCTCCCAACACAGAAATATTAAATGTAAATGTAGGCAAATGAATGGCCTTAAGCCATTTTAGGAGAATAATTACTTTAGCAGTATGGTAAGCATGTATTTCTCAATCACAGGTCAGAAACCTCAGTGAAAAAAAAAAGGAGAGACACCGTTTTAGAGAGAGACACCTGAGAGCTTAGGTGTCACTCTTTAAAATGCACATTTATTAGCTTTACAGATCATGTGAAAACACAAGAGACATACTGCAGACTTACTTCTTTGCACACTGCTGGTGTGCCAGCTACAGGGAGTTGGAAATCAACACTCAGCAACCGGACTCTTCTAGAATTTTACTTTTTTTATATGTATATATATATACACACATATATGTGAGAAAGATAGATCCCTACTTACAAAACATTAGGAATAATCACTTCTGACAATCTTTTCCTCATTCCAGTATTTTTTTTTTTATATATTCCACAGTAATGCAGGAGAGCAGGCACATGTTCCTGGTTGCCACCAACTCTTCCAACATGCTACTGTTTCTCCCCATAGAAAAGATCTACCTGCTGCCACTCCGTTCCCTGCGGAGCTGCTTGGCCCAAGTATTTTATCCATTTGTCAAGACAGATCATCGAGCAAACCATCTGTTTGGTGTCTGAATGTCAGAGGGAAAGGAAAGTTGCCTGATCTGTTCTTGCAAACCCTCCCCTGCCACCTTTGCTATTCAGTCCAAGCAGGGGAAGTGAAAAACTGCTCTCAGCCTCAGTTTGCAAACCTTGTGGCATGGGAGCATTCTCAGCCTCTCTGTCTCTGTTTTTCCAATGCAAACGCTCATTGGAGTAGAAAGGGGCACATTATGACTTAAAGGTAGTGGCAGTCCAACAAGGTAACTTCAGTAGCATTCAGAGTCACTTGAAGATTATGGACGAGCAGTTGTGATCATAGATGTATTCCCTGAACTGGTGTAAATCGATTTAACGTGCATTCAAAGACGATACAGATTAAACCACAAGTTTCAAACAGAGCAGCTCTGTGGCTTTCAGTAAGAATACAGCAGCTAGGAAGCTGCACAGCCCTTTCAGGAGGAAGAAAGGCATGTTCAAACTTGGCCAAATTTAGGATGGAGGTGACAGAGGGTGACAGTTTTAAGTAAAGAAAATAACTGGGTTTCTCTCATGGAATTCTACCAGGAATGCAACTAGGGAGATTTCTCACAGAGAAATTATTTCTACATTTATTTCTACATTACTGATGAGCATACTGACTGGGTGGATAGTGTCGACACTGTATTCGGTTGTGATACTGGTGATACCAAAACACCCTGAAGATTTGGTCTCATGAGCACAGGCAATGCTCAGCATTATTCATGAATCTGCCCTATAGCTTAGGTTGGAGAGGGTTTTAGAAACATTTTTGACATACTTTATCTCAGCAGTTTATTGTTGTTTCACCGCTTCTTCCTTATAAGACAAAAAGGTGATGACAATACACAGCTTGCATTAATTTAGTTGTGATGAAATGTACATCAGAGTATCTAGTATTTTATCATCTCTAGACGATAATTTAGCATGGGGCTCTGTAAACACTGTGATCTAGAGCTTTCTCATTGCCATTAAACTACTCAGTCTCCTCAGATCCTCCAGGATGAGGGTATGTAATGTTGTGAATAATTCCAAGTGGTAGCGCAACTCTGAAGTGAAGTTGCCCAAATGTGTATCTGTCACAAATGGAAATGGAAAATTAGATGTGCTATTGTCTGCCTATAAGCTTGGCTTCCATGAATTTATTTTTGCTTTTGAAAATCTTTGTCGCTCCAGCTATTCTAATGGAGAATCATAGAATCATCTAGGTTGGAAAAGACCTTTAAGATCAACAAGTCCAACCTTTAACCTAACACTGCCATCTCACCACTAAACCATGTCTCTAAGCACCTCATCTACCCTTCTTTTAAATCCCTCCAGGGATGAGGACTCCACCACCTCCCTGGGCAGCCCATTCCAGAGCCTGACAACCCTTTCAGTGAAGAAATTTTTCCTAATGTTTAACCTAAACCTGCCCTGGCACAACTTCAGACCATTTCCCATTGTCCCATCATCCATTACCAGGGAGAAGAGGCCAGCCCCCACGTCGCTACAGCCTCCTTTCAGGTAGTTGTAGTAGAGGCAGTCTCAGGGAAGGCTCTCAGTGCAGAAACTCCTACACTGAGAGCCTT